TAATGAAAATCATCAAAAGTGTCAGCGTGTCATCAAATCATCAAAAGTGTCAGCGTGCTGGAGAGGGATCGACTAGTACTCATTCAAAGGCTTGTAAAATGGTTTGTATATCTCCAATCGCAAAACTTTTAATAGTCAAATCTAGCCAAAATTGAGGGCTTCAACCTTTTACATAACACTAACATTGGGTTGAAGTTGAAGGGAGTTAATCTATTAAAAAGAAGTCGCCGTAAACACTGAAGACTCTGTATTGTCGCTTCATATTGTCGATTATTATAGATTCTATTATAGTACTACAGATTATTCAGCATTGCGTTTCCCGAGGGGGACTTTGAAATGAAATGTTCTCTCAATATTGTAACTGGTGTATGATGCCTTGCAAAAGTTTATTTAAGTAGAAAAATCAAGAAAAATGCACTAATTGGTGTCCTCGATTCAATCTTTCTTCGCTTTATTCCAGAGAGCTGGAGCTGATCCGAGCAAATTGATGTTGATGGTGACACCAATTAGACTCCCATCACTCACCATCAACTCCTTTTTGACAACACGAGCTCCTTTTTGAGCCAACTCCAGCGCCAAACTCGCAGGTTGGTTCGCATGGAGGCTGCTTATCCCCTTCCCTAGGATTGTTCTTTAAATTCTGATTAAATGTGGAACTTAATAAAATAGGTTAAAACAATTTGAAAAGACTTTTTGGTAAAAAACAAACAAAAAGATTGCAAAAGACCACGAAGCGGACTTTTTTTTGTCAAAAGACCACGAAACTTTTAAAAGACTACGAAACTTTTAAAAGACTACGAAACTTTTAAAAGACCATGAAACTTTTAAAAGGCCACGAAACTTTTAAAAGACCACGATTCAGGGAAAGAGGCAAAATCGTCTTTCTGATTGATGCCAGCTGGAGAAAAAACAAAAGCAAACAAAAAACAAACAAAGTGAACAACCTAAAACCTAATGAGAACTGAAAATTCGATATTTAAATCACAATTTTTATTCTTTGTTGAAAGATATAATACTTTTTTAAGAAGAAACACATTTTGAAGCATTTCAAAGAGAAATATTTGAATTTGATAATTTTGTCATCAACAAAATCATAATCAAGGCGCATTTGCTGAGTGCAAAATAAAGCAAATTCGTAATTGCAATTGAGCGCTAAACATACGGTTTATTATGCCGCTACTTATATGTATTTGCCGTACATTGATTGAATTTAATTGGATGATGATGATCATCAAAATAAATCGAGGGAATCGATTGGAAAATGAGTGGAGTGAAGAGCTGAGGAAGCTGTTTAGGGGTAAATTACTAGTACTAGTACTATTACTAGTACTATTACTAGTACTATTACTAGTACTATTACTATTACTATTACTATTACTATTAGGCGTGTGAAAAAGTAATTCACGTTTTTTATTTTTATCTGATGACCAAATAAGACGCTATCTTCTCGAAAACCCTCGTTCAACCTCTTCAGAAATAGGCCTTACGTTAAATTATGATGGGTCAACCGTAAGGAAACGCTTGAATGCCATGAATTTTATCAAAAAGTTGGACAAATGGATACCGCATGAACGATAACGCGCGACCACATGTCTCTTTACAGACTCGACAAAAAATCCAGAGTGTTGGATGGAAGGTTTTACCATATCCACCTTATAGTTCAGACCTTTCTCCATCTGATTATTATTTATTTTTGTCTCTGTCTAACTTTTTGGCCAATAAACGGTTCAATTCCGAAGAAGATATCCAAACCGAGGTTGATCTTTTCTTCGCCTCCAAGGACCAAGATTTTTATTATCGTGGAACAGGTAACAGATAGCTTCTCAAAGCTGATCAAAGCTGATCGAAGCTGATCAAAGCTGATCGAAGCTTGTCAAAGCTTCTCAAAGCTTCCCAAAGCTTCTCAAAGCTTCTCAAAGCTGATCAAAGCTTCTCAAAGCTTCTCAAAGCTTCTCAAAGCTTCCCAAAGCTTCCCAAGTAAAAAGCTTCGATCAGCTTTGATCACCTTTGAGAAGCTAGCTTTGATCAGCTTTGAGAAGCTATCTGTTATCTGTTAGCTCATATGGTATTTTTGAGTCATTTTCCAGCCCTATAGCACTTCATTGAAAGCTTTTATGCAGAAAAGAAATTTTAAAAAGGGCTGCTACGCAGGAGTACGCGATGATACTCTTTACCCGGTCTTCTATTCGAAGAAATACGGTAAATAAATATTTAGAATGAATTTTCAACCTATTTTCAACCTTTTCACACTAGAAACACCAAAAGAATACAAATTGGAAAGCGAATTCATAAATAGAAGACAAATAATGGCTTTTTAAAGTGACAAATTTGCCTCTAGTGTTTTTCAGAACTCAATTTTGAAACATTTTCTCTCTTACTACACTCTATCGCTTTATTTGCACAGAAAAAGCTCGCTGGAAATGGGGTTTGTGGTCAAAAAGCGGGGAAAAACCAACAGAAAAGGCTTATTTCCGAGATATCCTCTTGCAAATTTCACAAACCACAATATTTGAGCAGAGGAATAGAAAAAGAAATAAAAAAGAGAAAGCCTAGGTAGAGTCTAGAACGGCAAATAAAAGGCGATTGAGGCTGAAGAACTAAGAATCATTTTCTCGCACAATTCAATTCAATTCAACCTCTATTCAACTTTTTGAAACTATTTGAATCATGAAAGTCGCTGTGGTTACAGGTTTGTTTCTTGATAACTAGTTTAACTTTATAAAAAGCTTTAAATTCAAATTGTTATCTGTCATTTCATAGTTTTTGAGCTAAATGCTTGAGCTTGAGACTGGCTGAAAACGGCGTACTCTACAGCGATTTTTTTGACAATCATAATCACAATAAAGAGATTGTTTTAATATTAAACTATATTAATTTAATTATTTTGTATCAATTCAGGAGCGTCGACTGGTCTCGGAAAAGCTATCGCCGTTTATTTTGCGTCAAAGGTTCGTTTGGATATATTGGGTTGGTGAATTGAAAGCTGCGGGACTTTGAACTAAAATTTATTCAACCTAAAACCATCAATTCATTCCAAATAGTTTCCATTATTATTGACGACTTTTGCCCATTTTACAGGCAATTTGCGGATTCCTCTTTCGCAGTAGGATTTTGGTTTGTGTATGAGATAAGTGTGAGACTCAAAAATCGAGGACTGGAGATGTCCCAGTTTGAGCATTTCAGCACTTTCTTCAAAAGAAACCCATTTTGGTGTCAATAGAAAAGTTGTAGAGAATCAAAAATTAGGCTTATAGCCAAATTTCCAAAAAGATACACTTAGTAGTTTCGCTTAATATGCAAGTTTTGTGAAAATTCGTAAATTTGGCATTTCTTGAAAACCAGTTTTGAATCGTTCTGAAAATTTGGATATAAGCTTGATTTTTGATTCTCTACAACATTTCCATTGACACCAAAATGGGTTTCTTTTGAAGAAAGTGCTCAAACTGTCACATATGACAATAGCCGGCAGTTTTCAATTCACCAACCCAATAGAAAGTAAAAATCAATCAGTTTTACAATCCGAGATTTCGCTAAAAGTCTAAAAGTCTTTTGCAGTACTCTTACAGTTTAAAGATAAGAAATTGCATCAATTGAGTGCTTTAAAACGAAACCCAAACCTCAAACTGAATTCAGGGATTTGCCGTTTCGATCACCGCGCGCTCGGGAGATGCTCTCCAGAAAACGAAAGCTGAATGTGTGGCAGCTGGAATCAAAGAAAATGCGGTAAATCTAATACATAACCATCTCGTATTGAAGAATATTACAGAGAACAGAGTAAACAATAGATTTACTTGCAGAAATACAGCAAAAATGACAAATCTAGGTGGTAATCACGGTCGGAGATTTGACGCAGGCGAGCACAGCCGAGGCCGTTATCAAGAACACTGTTGATAAACTTGGATCGATTGATGTTTTGGTAAATGTTTGAGGAAATTTGCTTAACTCAGATATCTTCAGATCAACAACGCTGGTTACCTTCAATTCGGAGCCCTTTCAACGGCAACTGTTGAGGATTTCGATAAGCAATTTAATCTAAACGTCAGAAGGTTAGCCTACCTACAAACTCTTCCATTTTTTGTTCGACTCTAGCACTAAACTTTTAAAACATCGATATGCCTAAAGTCTAAATTTATCATTAGTTCTATTTAGTCTTCATCAAATCACTCGTCTCGCAATTCCACATCTCATCGCATCCAAAGGAAACATTGTGAATGTGAGCAGCGCTGGATCGATGATGCCGGTTAGTTGAGATGATTGAGAACTTGAAACTCTCTTCATTGCAAGCTCATTTGATGAAAACTTGTTTAATCTAGGTGCCCGGATGCGCATTTTATTGTATGTCGAAGGTTGCTCTCGACATGTACACAAAGAGTTTGGCGCTGGAGTTGGCTCAAAAAGGAGTTCGCGTTAACAGCATCAAGTAAGTAATAGTAATAGTAAGTAATTGTGAAGTGACAGCACACTTAAACTAGTACTAAAAAGTGGCAAACAGTATTCCAACTAGAAAATCGCAAAAGATTAAAATCTTTTTCAGTCCGGGCTTGGTGATGACTGATTTCTCGGTGGCTGCTGGCTTGGCTACACAAGAAAACAAAGCAGAAGTGAGTATAGTTGTTGTTTTTTAGTTCTAAATTTAGGTTTATAATAGGCAATTATTATATTAGGGCTATCTGTAATGACTCTCTCTTTTAGAGATACGACCAACTCAAGCCGCCACAAATCCACTGGGCAGAGCAGCTACACCTCGGAAGAGGTGGGTGAAGGCATTGCTTTGAGGCTTAGGCTTATGCTTAGGCTTGGACTTAGGCTTAGGCTTAGGCTCCGGCTTAGCCTTAGGCTTAGGGCTTAGGCTTAGGCTTAGGCTTTAGCTTAGGCTTAGCTTAGGCTTAGGCTTAGGCTTAGGCTTAGGCTTAGGTCAGAAGGCTAGCGGCGAGCGCCTGCATTAAGTCTGGGGTTTGGCTGAGCCCCCATTTTCTGGATCTCAGGCGGTTCCCGGAGCTAAGGTGCAAAGCCATTGCCCTTGTGCTTTGGAACCTAAGAAGAGTATCCTTTCAAAATTCTAGATCGCTGCCATGCCTAGAATTAGGCTTAGGCTTAGACCTAGGGACGGTCAAGTAAATAAGCATAAATATTAAAAGAAACCAGATTGTAGATTGTTCTTCATTTTATATTGTTTTGGCACTCCTCAGAAGCACTGCTAATTTTATTTTCAGTAATCGTTAGGTGCTGAAAGAAACTAGAAACGTGAGAAACCATATATCTTATTTTTTAAAACAATATTGGCTTTTTCAATATAACGATCGGTTTCTTATTGTCATTGTTTGTAGATTGCAAAAACGATCTACTTCTTGGCGAGCAGTAGTAGCGCTTTAACAACGGGCACATTGATGGTCAAAGATGGGGGACGATTGCTCGGATCAGCTCCAGCTCTTTGGAATCAAGCAAAGCGAAAGATTGAATCGAGTACATCAATTAGTGAAAAATTTCTCTTGATTTTGCTACTTAAATAAATCCTTTTGCACAGTATCATACACCAGTTACAATCTCGAGGACAACATTTCATTTCAAAGTCCCCCTCGGGAAACGCAATGCTGAATAATCTGTAGTACTCATAATGGAATCTATACCAATCGACAATATGAAGCGACAATACAGAGTTCTCAGTGTTTACGGCGACTTCTTATAATAGATTAACCCCTTCAACTTCAACCCAATGTTAGGGGGATGTAAAAGGTTGAAGCCCTCAACCTTGGCTAGATTTAACTATTAAAAGTTTTAAGATACTGGAGATATACAAATCATTTTACCAGCCTTTAAATATGTACTAGTAACGATCAATATGAAAGATCCGTTTCTTATTGTCATTGTTTGGAGATTGCAAAACGATCTACTTCCTTGGCGAGTAGTAGTAGCGCTTTCTATAAATGGGCACATTGATGGTCAGTGATGGGGGACGATTGATCACGGATCAGCTCCAGCTCTCTGGAATCAAGCAAAGGAAGTATCGAATCGGAGTACATCGCATTAGTGAAAACCTCCTCTTGATCTTTGCTACTTAAAATCAAACTTTTTTTTCAGCAGCAATTTATACACCAGTTACAATACTGAAGATAACACCAAATTTTCAGATCAACGCAAGTCCCCCTCGGGAAATGGAAATACTGAGTAACTGTACTCACGATAGGAGGCGACAATAAAGGGTGACCGCTTTTTTCGAAAAGCTGCTCATGTCTCCCATTACCAAAAGTGCCAAGTGTTATTAAGAAAAGTAAAGCCCCTTCATCTTGGCATTACCCATCCCGCAAAGAACTCTCCGACTTGGCGTACACAACCTATCGGATAAGCTCTTAGAATGAGCTCAAGGCTCTCTCCAGCTCCATTTGGGCACCTCTTTCTTAATAAAAAATCTCGACAAATCATACTTCAGTTTGATTCCTTTTAAGAATGCTGTTTGTAGAATGGTAAAACAAAGTTCATCTCTACAGGCGGCATGCCGTAAAGGCTACAGTGATAGAACCCCGTCCCACATAAAATGACGGTGCGGAGTGTTGCGTAGTCAAGTCCCCTGAACGCGTTTGTCTCGACACTGTCTAATACTGCTACATGTCCTCAGCAGAGGTATCACAACCTAGCTGAACTTCAGGGCTATCTTCTGGATACCAAAGACCATTGGCGAAAGCATGGGTGCTTTGCAAAAAATGAAAGACTAAAAGACTTTTGCACTACGCGACTGTGTACGACGGTTGGGCGTGGGGTACCATTAATTTAGAAGGCTTGATGGTGAAACTCATTCTGCTACAACCATTGAGCAGGAGGCTTGATACTCGAGCCGCCTCTTCTCGCTGACAAATCTCTTTCGTTTTTTTTTGAAAATTGTATGGTGTGAAGGGAAGTGATTAAGATGTGTTTCTATGCATATTCCTTTGCTCTGATCTTATGATTTCCTTGGCATTTTCCCTTGGTAGGTCAACTCTTTTCTCTTTTGTGGTGAGAAAGTGGGAGTAGATGGTTAAACGATGGCATCAAGCAGCTGAATGACTGGCCCTTATCACTCTTATTGAATTAGAATAACAAATGCCTTTCCAAAAATGCTTTATTTATTTGAATAGACTTTTGGATCATTCCACAAAACACTCTCGATCCTTCCAAATCGTAGTGGCCACCGAGTGAACGTCCAGATTGGAACGGCAAACGAAACGATGAAGGCAAAGAAAATCACGATTTGTAGCCGATGAAGCTGCTAAAACCAATTTTATTATCTAATTTAACTATATCCTTCATGTTTTCAAACTGAATCAGATAGGTGGACCAGATAAATACTTCCTGGAATCATTTACCTGACCTTGGACACACTCTCGAGGAGATCTTTAATGCTAGTTTCTCGGCTAACTATGCCTTTTGATTGAAAATTGAGAAATCATGCGCTCCGGTTCAGGAAAAGACTAGAGATTTCCCGAAAACGGAAAACGCTGATCGCTGAGCGAAGAGCTTTTTGTACACTGATCTTTCAAATAATTTCTAACAGAATCTATTAGTCGAACCAACAACATGGAAATTAAAAATGATAAGCAATTTTTGAATTCCTATTCATCGCTCCACGAAGCATGGTCTTCTATTAACAAGTAAAGAGTCAAAATGGTTAAATCATTCTTTGGTTAAGAAAAACCCTCGTCATCACATTGGAAAAAACGCGCAGCTTGCTCTTGACTCATCTTCTGGTGAAGGGTTATCGATACTGGAAATGGAAATAGATGTGTAACTGATTTACCTACTTTATAACGATCTTCGAACTTCAAGGTAAAAGCAACAGTAGAAATGGGCACATTCTACTGCTACCTTTCCCTTGTTAGTAGTATTCGTGTCAAAGGTAATCTTTGAGACAATGACAAAAACTGGACTTTAGAAGCAAAAAGAAAGAAAGGAATAAAAAGGAAAAACCTTATAAAAAATTCCTCAGCCTACCTCAACGAAATCTCTGGAATCATTTTATCCAAGTGTTGATAGCCAAGCAAGGAAATGAAACAACTTTATACAAACGGATCAATTAATTTTTAGTTCTCAGAACTGTAAGCTTCATAGAGTAGCCTTGAGAGAAAGAGAACCCAAAAGATACAGTAAGACATTTAATTTCCTTTCTTAAAGATCAACAAAAAGAGCGGGCAAAAAGGGCAGCGGCCTTGCTGGCGTGGATAAAGTTGGCAAAAAAAGAAGCACAATTCCTGGGAACCCGTACAAAGCTCTAGAAGCTCAATTCGGCGAACTTTGATAAGAATTGACTATAAAAACGTTGGGGACAGTAATGGATCAACTTTTCATTTTCAAAAATGAACTCCTCCCAAATTCTCTTCTTGATTGTGGTGCTCTCGACTCTGACCATCCTCACAGCACTACCGATTCCAGGGTATGGCTTTTAAGCCCAGACTTAGGCTTATTTATTTAATATTACAGGCTTATTTATATTTACATATTGTTGCTTTAAGTTACATATATTAAAGTTTCTAATTTACGATAAGGAAACCTGACTTAGCAAACTTAGCAAAAGCTTTGTTGATGTTTGAATTTTAGACCCTAACGGCCAGAGGATAGGCGATTTCCCAGAAGATTCGATTGTGAGTCGTCTTCGCCGCTATTGGTACACACAAATTTGCACGTGTGAGTCATCTTGGTGGTCATCTTGGTGAAAAAACATAAAGTCATTCAAACTTTACCTACCTATTTCTTTTTGCACAATGTAAAATAAAAGATTACTTTGATTCTTGAACATATTACAAAAAATTGGAATGGTGGTATTCGATCAAAATTTGGTTTTTTTCTTTGTGTTTGTGTAATCCAGAAAAGTTTTTACATTCTTCAACAACGTGATTACGATAAAAAGTCGAAAACAATGGAAATCGCATGACTTTTTATTAGAGAATTTAAATAAATCCTAACCATGGTACAAGTAAATAAGTACGCAATTTGTCAACCAACCCATTTCACTCTCTTCTGAAAAATGATCAATATTTGGTCTTGATTAAACACACCAAAATAAGGCAACTTGAGCTTATATTGCCAAAACCAAAGGTCAAACGAAAAGAAGCTAATCAAAAAGTGAAAGTTTACTAGTTACTGGAATCTAAAAGGTTGATAGATAAAGATTGATAAAGACAAACTTATCGGGAAGTCCGCAACATTGGGTGTGGCCTTGAAAGCGCCAAAAACCGTATCCTTTTAGGTTTTTGAAAGAAAGTTTATTAGACCAGAACTTTTCACATCAACCACAACCTTTTGTTACAATGAATTTCTTTTTGGTCGTCATTTGCATGTCGTTCACCGTGGAGATTCTTGCGGGTTTGTTTTTGCTAGTATTAATGGAATTGATTCGATTCGATTCGTGGGGACAGGTCTAGTATCCAACAAGAACAGACTAATCTATCGATCAACTACCCATTTGTATAGTTGTTTAGAAGAAAACGCATCCTCAAACTTCATGCAACTGCTGGCCTCTCAACCCCTCAACGACCCGTTCAACGGCCCACCCGTTCGTGGGTGTGGGTGCCTCCACCGCGACGACGCAGCCGTCCTCGAGTCTACGTTCAGACTCGCTACGTACCCTATAATGTTTATGTGCCTTATTATGTCTCTCAACCAACTTATCGCCCATATTATTATTGCGGTTGTTATGGAAAGTGATAGCTCAAGCATTATTTAATTTCTCTACTTATAGGGAGCGCCAAAATTTCTGCTAACTTTATTTTATGACCTATAACTTATCCCGTTTTGTATTTTAAATTACAAATATGTGTTTTTTGCATGTTTTTGTATTACTTTTAAGAGATTAAAGAGATTTAACAAGTGCAAAAGCAAACAAGGTTTACAAACGGATAACGTTCAGCGAGCTGCATAATAAGCGAATTTCTAAGATAATCACAGATTACTGGATACATGAAATCGAAAGTGCTAAGAGTTGTAAGAGCTATGATTCGTATCTCTCGAATCAGATTATCACAGTTGAAAAGCTCAAAGTCGCTTTGGAGTCGAGCTTGAAGTGAGATTTCGGTGATCAAGTGCGTGAGCATGCCTTGAAAGCGTCTCAGCAAAATGCATTGAAGCAAACAGAGAATTTTTGAGTGTCGCTGTGTGCTTGACTCACTTGGACTGCTTGAATGAATGGATCGACCTGTGTACCGAGGTTTGATCATACAAAACGCGAACTTTGAAGGCTACAAGAGTTTTGATGAGGTCGATCAATGAAACCAATTGTTTTTGTTTCGACAATTGGCGGAACTGAGAGAACATGGTCTTTCTTGGTTGACTTTTTGAGATGATCGAACCAAAAGATCATGAGATGATTGCTTGTTTCCGATGAAATCTTAACGGGTTCACACATCAAAGCTGCTGGAGTTAAAAGCTGCTAGATAAGATGAGAGAAATGAGATCCGATTTCTTGTTTGCACTGAGTGCAAATCAATTCCACGGTGCTCTTTTCACTGCTCGATTTTCAACGTTTACGGTCGATTTTTCCAATGAAGATCGTCGAATTTCGTTAGTTATCTTCATCAAATCAATGATTTGTGTGCCAAAAACCCAGGCAAAAACTTTCGGTTTCCCAGGCAACAAATAAATTAACCGTAAGCATTTGAATGACAATTTTCGTCATTGTGCTTTGTAAAATCACGAGAATCAAAGATGCTTTCGAATTTGGCTGAATACAGGGCTGAATACCGGAAAATACATGAAATTTTTGTGCAGAAACTTTTGTGCAACGGTCATTCGAAACTTGTCCTAAAGATATTTTCCATAGGTTCAAAAGCTATATGAATGAAACTCAACTTGGCCTCCAAACTCACCGGATCTCAATGTGATGGCCTTTTCCATTTGGGCAATCTTAGAGGCTAATGTCTGCTCTCGAAAACACACAAGTTTGGATTCTTTGAAGAAGTCTTTGACCAAAGGATGGAAGGCGATTCCTCAAGATGACATTCGGGCCGCAGTGGAGGCATATCCGAACCGATTAAGGGCTGTTATCAAGGCAAAAGGCGGTCATATCGAATGATCTCTTGTTTCCTTATTTGTTACTGTTAAATAAAGCTATTTCTGTTTAAAAATCTTCTTCCAGTGAAACTTCTTGGTGTGCAATGCCTTGAGTATCTTGTTGCAATAATTATGACGCACCCTGTAGTTTAACACAATATCTAAAATCAACGCTCAATGTTTTTTTTCTTAAGATTAGATTTCTTAAGATTTTTTTCTTAAGATTAAAAGAACTAAATAGGAACTATAAAGGAGCTTTAAAGGAGCTTTAAAGGAGCTTTAAAGGAGCTTTAAAGGAGCTTCAAAGGGGCTTTAAAGGAGCTTTAAAGGAGCTTCAAAGGAGCTTTAAAGGAGCTTTAAAGGGACTTCAAAGGAGCTTTAAAGGAGGGATTTAAAAGTGTCAATGAACGCTCTTCTACTCTCTTCTTACGCAGAACCTTTTCTAGATTCATAAAAACTAACAAGAGAATGCCGTAAAATGGCCGTTGAGATGCAAACGCCTATCGGACATTGGGATATCGGACTGTATGCAGTTTTTGCTCATATTCAAAAACACGCGAGAAAAACGTGTCTATTCGGGAAATCATGCTGCGGGGTTATAAAGGATCTTTTCTGACTCTCGAAATGTGACCAATGCAGTGGTAATGCGTAGTGGTAATGCGTAGTGGTAATGCGTAGTGGTAATTGCCTAGTGGTAGTGCGTAGTGCGTAGTGGTAATTGCGTGCGTAACCGACCTTCTTGCTTTTTGGCCGCAGGTTCGAATCCACTTCGGGAAAAACTCTTGTTTTCATTTGTAAAATTAGCAAAAATCATTTTAGAGTTTCTAAAGTGCAAACTATTATACACGTTTTTCTCGCGTATTTTGAATATGGGCAAAAACTGAATACAGCATCGTATTCCCCGTGTCCGCTAGGCGATTGCATCTCAGCGGCGTCAAAATCTGCTACGCCCATTTTGTGGCATGCTCTTCTAAGAAACACTCAAGATAACAGTAAAAACATGCTTGAGATTGTTTGGCATTTGCATAATTTCCGGATATTTTGGAAAAATCCGGGTTTTCGAACGGGTCGTCACGTTTTTGATGACCTATAATCTTTGTCCAGAGATTTTATTTTTTGTTAACTTTTTATATCATTGTACAGAGAACATTTCAGGCTTTCAAATGATACCAAATAGAGTTTGATTTGATAATTTAATCAAAGAAAATCAGAACCAACTTTGAAGAAAAGAGGTCTATCCAACTCGGCGGTCGTGTCGCCTTGTTTGCATGGGAATAAAAATCCAATCAAGCTCTATTTGGTATCATTTGAAAGCCTGAAATATCCTCTGTACAATGATATAAAAGGTTAACAACAAATATAATCTCTAGACAAAGTTATAGGCCTTCAAAGCGTGACGATTCGTTCGAAATACCCGAAAGAGCCGATTGTTTCAATCTAAATCGGGTGACGTTCGCGGTGATTTCGGACACAACATATACTACACTGTGCAGAAATCGGCGCATCGTTGAAGTGCTGTTCATGTGTGAGCCTCTGATTCTCGACGCCGCGTTTGCCTTAAAGATTCAATCAGTCGACATCACCTATACCCTTCAATACAATCTTGTTGTGGGTGACGATGCAAAAATGATTTGAAAGAGTTTCTCAACTAATAACTTTTAGTGTTGGCCTTCATTGAGACAATTGATCTCTTATCCAAGCTATTTCTCTCTCTCATCAGGAGTGCTAGGAGCCGGCGAGATTGTCTATTTCACAAATTATTTTGTAATAGCTATTACTATTCTTGATATATGTAAGTTTAAAAATTTCCAGGTAAACTTTTCTATGGTAGAAATTGTTTTTCTAACTTTTACTAGTAATCCATTTAGCTCTAGTCCTATCCGCTTTCTACAATCTCAGCAAACAACAAACGTTTATGAGTGAGAGCACACAGAAACTAAAGTGGAAATGGTTTCGCAATCTTTTGATTCAGGTTTTGAAAAACTTTAACTGTAAATTATTGGGTTGTTGTAAAAAAACTGCCGGCTATTGACATATGTGACAATTTGAGCACTTTCTTCAAAAGAAACCCAATTTGGTGTCAATGAAAAAGTTGTAGAGAATCAAAAATCAAGCTTATATCCAAATTTCCAAAAAGATACACTTAGTAGTTCCGCTTAAAATGCAAGTTTTAATGCAAGTTCCGCTTAAAATATGTGTGTTCTGTTTGTTCTTTGTGCGGCCCCGTAACCGCTCGTCGTCTGGCGCAGGGCTTTTACATAACCCCCTTCCCTCTACCCGCTACTGACTGTTTCCGAATCCTCAAATTCGACATTGACTTCTCCGCAAATCAAGGCTAATCTCAATCTAGTTGGTGAATTGAAAATTCCCGGCTATTGTCATCTGTCACAGTTTGAGCACTTTCTTCAAAAGAAACCCATTTTGGTGTCAATGGAAAAGTTGTAGAGAATCAAAAATCAAGCTTATATCCAAATTTTCAGAACGATTCAAGAACTAGTTTTCCAGAAATGCCAAATTTACGAATTTTCACAAAACTTGCATTTTAAGCGAAACTACTAAGTGTATCTTTTTGGAAATTTGGCTATAAGCCTAATTTTTGATTCTCTACAACTTTCTATTGATACCAAAATGGGTTTCTTTGAAGAAAGTGTTCAAATGCTCAAACTGGACATCTCCAGTCCTCCATTTTGAGTCTCACACTTGTCTCACACACAAACCAAAATCCTACTACGAAAGAGAAGACGAAAATCCGTAAATTGCCTGTAAAATGGGCAGAAGTCGTCAATAATAATGGAAACTATTTCGAATGAAATGATGGTTTTATGTTGAATAAATTTTAGTTCAAAGTCCGGCATTTTTCAATTCAGCAACCCAATACATCTCTAGGTGATCGTCGTTCTAACGCTCTATTTTGTTCCTTTTTCTTGGTATCGTGTCATCGGTGCGGGAGAACGCTTTTGGTTAAGCGGTTTGTTTAATGTTCTAGTCTCTTGAAACACTTGAAACATTTCATTTCTAGAAAAATTATTTAAGCTTTAAAAAACTCGATATCAAATTCATTTAGGATACACAGTCTATTTCACAACACTTCTCTGTTTTCACGGTACCGTTTCGACGTTGCTACTTTTTACGGTTTATGATACCTACCGAGAATGGATGCTCGACAAACTCGGCTTTCGATGCGGAGAGGTAGAAAAATTTAAATGATAATATTATGCAAATTTTGGAAACCTACATTCATACAAGGTGCGTCATAAATACCCGGACTCGCTTCCAAAAGTCCAGCTTCCAAAAGCTCGCTTCCAAAAGTCCAGCTTCCAAAAGTCTAGCTTCCAAAAGTCCAGCTTCCAAAAGTCCAGCTTCCAAAGCTCGCTTCCAAAAGTCCAGCTTCCAAAAGTCTAGCTTCCAAAAGTCCAGCTTCCAAAGTCCAGCTTTCAAAAGCTCGCTTCCAAAAGTCTAGCTTTCAAAGTCCAGCTTCCAAAGTCCAGCTCAGCCAAAATTAAACGAATCTCTCTGATTTTTTGACTAGGTCTCCTGTAACAGTGTCCAATTTGAGGTTTGAGCACAGATAATTTTTATATAGACTTTCAGAAGTTGAGAGTCGCACTTTCGTTGGCACGCAATGACTTTTGGGATTACACATGCCACGAAACACCGTGATTTCAATTTTTTCTTGCAAGAAAGTGTTAATGAAAAATCGTCATGCAAAATTAGCCGTTTGAAAGTTTGAAAAGTAGTAAAGATAACAATCACATGAGTAATAAAGATAAGTAACTTTAAGGGTAAATAACTTGATTCTGTTATTTACCCTTAAATGTCAAAACTTAAAGCTACTTTTGAAGTAACAACGAAAGTGTGACTCAACTTTGAAACTTTGAAAGACTATATTAGAGTATACTTTGAAAAATTATCTCTGTTCTAATTGACTTAATATTGGACAATGTTACAGGAGATCTAGTCAAAATTTACCTATGAGAAAAGCAGAGAGATTCGTTTCATTTTGACCGAGCTGGACTTTTGGAAGCGATGCGGGTATTTATGACGCACCCTGTATACACCATGCATCATTCATCATGCATCATTCAATTTAAAGAGTCGGTCAACACAACTCGGTCGTACACTCGGTGGTGATCGTTTCAAGTATTGAACACCGAGAACTGGTCGCTATTTCAAATCATAAAAGGAACTCTTGATTGCATAATGGTGTTTCTTCACGTGCTTTTAATTGTCTCTGATAAATTTGTCTTAATTTTATCTTTTTTTTTTCAAATAGTTTTGTTTAATTGTAGAGCGAGTGATTGTGAAGATTCAAAAATAAGTTGTGACTCTGAAAAAAAGCGAATGGAAGCTACGGTCTCTTGATGCGCTCTTTCACAAATCCGTTAGTGCATAAATCCATAAAAAACAAATTACTAACAAGGTCAACTGGTTGAACCGGTCAAATGGCATGTAACCTATACCATCTAACGCAGAATTTTACGCTGATTTCGAGCCTGCTTTCCGTTTTTACTGAACGCTATTCTGTCAGGAGTTTTAAGGGCTTGAAGTTTTATCTTCATAAAAAAACAAGAAACAACGTGATACGGGACCCGAACCAGTTATCATTGGTCCATAAAACAGACGCTCTACCACTCGACCACGCCCTGCTCGAATCTAGGCCGCGCACAAGGCGCTAAGACCCAAAAACCCCATATTTTCAGAGTCCTAACAAAACTCCTAACAGAATAATATTCAGTAAAAACGGAAAGCAGATTCGAAGTCAGCGTAAAATTCTGCGTTAGATGGTATAGGTTACATGTCATTTGACCGGTTCAACCAGTTGACCTTCCCTTGTAAGTATCACAAAGATTAAAAAAAACGCTTCAGAAACGTTGTGGGCAAGTTCATCAAAAAGGATCCCACAAAGACACGAATTCGAGCACAAGTTAACAATACTGCAAAGCTTTTCCTCTCATCCAAACGTTGTACAATGTTTGGGGTTGCGGGTTTTCATTACGAACTCGTTTTTTCAATGTTAAGAAATCAGTTTGTTTATTTGCAAAGGAAAACCCCCATCTCTACAAAGAATTCTTGATATGCTCAACTTTGAAGGAAAAGATTTTCCATTTGGTGCCTATCGCTTCAAATTATACGATTTCCTAATAAATGAATCGTGCTTTTAAGAGTGTTCGGTTGAACGATCAATACAAATTATGAAAATTGCATAAACTGTACGCAAAAGATTTTAAGCTGCTGGAAACAAACGGCAAAAAACCATTACACCGACGATTGAGAGGGAATCTATGAGGTTTTACGGGAATCTCGAAAGAAATTGCTAGAAGATCACAACTGTCCAAACAATTTTCTCTTCAATTATCTACACGATAACCACGATAAACTCGTCATTGAGGCTCCAAGCGTTTACAAAGAGTTATTGCTCTCGATGTTGAGAATGATGGAGAGAATTAAGCAAAGGTCTGTACTCAACATTCGCAAGCTTGACAAGAATCAACTCGATTTTGCAATAGCTACCGTGGAAGACTTAGTTGGGTTGATAGACGGGGAAATTGGTACCTTCAAGACGGTGTACCTTCAAGAAAAGTCGGTTTCGAACTTCTCCTTTGGTTGAATGTTAACTTTGAACTAATGAAAGAGAGAAGAACTCTTGCTTTCATGTAATGTTTATAGCAAAAAAAATACTACACGCATTTTCTTTGGTTTTTCTGTTTTGTTGTAATTCTGTAATCTGTAATATTATATTTGATAAATTTTGTGACCTAAGGGTGCTTTTTCTCCAATTATCTAAGAGGGCCAATTTCTTATAAGATACAACAAATTGAGCCAATTAGAAGTGTTCCTAATAAACAGGAAGCTTATTTCTTCATAGAATCTAAACTTTGGGCTGGTTTAAGCTTTGGACTGGTTTAAGCTTGCTACAATTTCTTTTTTGAATACAAATTCATTTTCTTTCGGGTTTCAAGTATTAGGTTGAGTGCTAATTCTTGATAACACTTTTTTGTTTTATGTTTGAGTAAAGAAAAAACCATGGACTTTTCAGATATCAGATAATCAGACACGCATTTCCTAGCTTTGGGCAAACTTTCATCTCGATCTAATGGCTGGGCTTCAAGCACGAGGCTTTTGTTTGAAACCAGTCGATTTGGACTCTTGGTTCTTCTGTGAACCAGATTCTTCTTCCACCCCTAAAAATTTGCAGCCAAAAGTTGGTAATGTGAAGCAAATAGTAGGTTGGCGGAAAAATTTGTTTTAACTAACATTAGTTTGGTAGCTTTATTTAACAAATTTCCACCCAGAAACTTAGTCCCCACAAGGGAAAAACTTTGATTTAACAAATTTTCTATTTAAAATATGTACTATTTTTATAATCCCTGCGATTCGACTTTTTGAATCGTTAAATCGAGCATCTTATATCATATCATCATTTGAGTTTGATACGAGGAATAGTCCTGAAATCCCTCAAATTTATCCACTTTCAAGGCTTCCTTCACCAGAAAGACCTGCTATACCGCCAATGTTTGTCACAACGGGCCAGGAATCGCCGGAAAGCTAAAGCAACTCGTCTTTAAGATCACAGACGTCTGAAAATAAAATAAAAACATCGCAGATTCCAAGGTAGCTCTGCCTTTAACGGTGCCCGTTATCTAACCGATAGGAGCTCACAAATTTTTTAAATAAGCTCTCAAAGTTGGGAGTCGCACTTAGCTTGGCGCGCGATCTAGTTTTCGGATTGATTTTAAAAGATCGATTCAACGAACTTGAGCCGCCCATTCAGCAGTGAAGTTTGCGGGAAACAGTGATTTTGTGAATGATTCTGGAATTTATGCAAATCTTACTTATGTTTGGCATTCTTACAATTCTTTCCTCATTGAGGTGTGTCGCTGGTCGAAAATTCAATCGAACCACTGCCACACGTTATCTCGATTACCTAGCTCAAAGGTGATGCTGATGTTCTAGAGTTATCGAGGAAAATCCGCTACTCACCGCAATCAAATTCTCTCCAATAGACACACTCCGGCAGGCACAACCCGGACTCTGGATCATCTGTCTCGTCAATCTTTTTCGTTCCCAAAAACGTCGTCCCTTCACATAAACGAGCGTACACTTGATTGCCTAATTGTAAGCCAAAGCATGCAGTGCTGAATAAAGACATCGTCGGTTGGGTTTGGCTGAGCTTTGTCAAACGCATTCCTACCACAACACAAGACACCATGAGTCAACTCAATCTATGATCCAACTCACAAATCAAAGGCTCAATCAGAACCAATCTAAACTAAACTGCTAATTGGGTCGATTTTTAATCTTTTTATATACGATTCGTGAATAAAACTATATCCCTCAAATCGCCCATAAACACAACTTAAACTACGACATTTCATAATCAACTTAACATGGTAAAACGTCAACAAACAAAATGAAACTTTATTCATTACAACACTTCATAATCGACCAAATCACTTTCGCTCACTTCTCAATGATATCATTTGCTTGATTCAAAGCCTAGATAATAATATAAAAGAATCAGAATACATTCGGAAACCTCCAACATTGCCATCGCCTCCTTTCGCTGCTGAGCCATTCGCTCGTTTTCGCCAGAGCAACTCGTTAAGCTTTGACGAATTGTAAAGAGCGCCTACGAGCTCAGCGTGCAGGTTCTCCTAAAAATCAAAAAGCTGAATTAGTGCTTTGAAGTTACTAGCGAATTAAGAAGTTACAAATAGCTATAATACTAGGGCTCCCTAGAGTTGGAGTTTAAAATTGGCTCATAACTACAAGTACAGCTGGGGTTTCGCGTCACGGTGCTGAAGAATGGCTGACATACAAACGCCGATAGAAGCTAAACTCACAATTTACAAAGCAACCAAACTGTGGTTCCATGTCTCATATGTGAGCTCATAATCAGCTTTTAGGAGCCCCAGGAAGTGACAGGTAATTGATATCTTTAGAACAAGAACGCAAACTTTCTTCTAAGTAGCCTCTTTTCAAAGTGGTTCTTCGCTCTTGATAAGCTCCCCCCTCCGCATCCCCAATTTAAACTTTAAACTCACAGTGACATAGTCGACCATGTTGTGCATAATGGTTTTCGGCACGAGGTCCTGAACGTTCTTGCAAACAATCGAAAAGTAGCTGGCGATGAGACGTTCTGGAAACTCCTGGACTTTAGAAAAACTCAGTAACATTACTAACTTCAGTAACTTCTACAAATCTAACTTTCACTATAGACAACTGGAAATATTATCCATCTTAATTAACTATCGTAATCTCTCTCGTAATCTTCCCACCCATGATCTCGCAATCGCGTTGTTCGTTGGGCGTCAGCTCCTCTTTCACCAGTTTCTCCGGCACTTTTGTTAAAGTGTTTTCGTTCAAATTACCTGAAAAGCGTGTGGAAATTCTTGCCTTTCTTGAAAACCTTTCAAGTGCCCCAGTTGAACCCTCGGACACCCCGGGCGACTTTTCTTAAAACCTAGATAGTCAATCATTTGGAAATTCGACATATAGGGAGCCAAGAGTTTTTGCTATTAGGAGAAAAACGAGTATTCAAAAATATCCAAAAAGAGCCGAGTTTGGCCAATTAAAAATTTTGCAAGAGGAGCACTCTTGGAAAGGTCCCTAGATCCGTTTTTCTCGAGGCCTACCTAGCCAATTTTCTGAGACTACAGAATTTTATAGTCGACCAAGGAACACACAATTTAAAAAAAGAGTAACTCACAAGGGCAAAAATTCTTGGCTTTCTATATGCCAAATTCAAAATGATTGACTGTCTAAGTTTTAAGAAAAGTCGCCCAGCGTGACCAAGGGCCCAACTGGGGCACTTCAAAGGTATAGTTGTGGACACCCACCTTGTTGCAGATGAGCACGTTGGGGCTGCCTTTGCTGATCTCGTAACTCCTGGAATGTGAACGTTTCACCTTTTCTATACAGAAGTCAAATAGGCAATGCTTACTTTTCTCATCGCCGCATTTCTCGCCTCATTCCGAGCGACCAACTCCTTCTGCTCGTTTCGTTCGTCAAGATTCTCGACAAATGAATTCTAAATCATTGTCAGCTTATTGGTACTAAACATTTCCTTTAGTTTAACGAATAAATATGCGTATCTCAATTTTCCGCAAGGATATTTTGAACTTTATTAAACACCCTTTATAGGATCGGGACTATGAATGCAAAATCTAGACTTCGCAAATCGAGCCCCCGGCCGTTCTTCTCACTTGCTAAACCATGAGAATGATCTCCCAGTTAACAACATCGACATGTCTATTCAATAGGGTATGTTGATACAAACTTTGAACAAATCGATAAGTTTCGCGTCGGCGAACTCGGGATGTCGAGTGTTGATGTAGGCGCCCTCGACGGCAAGAAAGTTTCCCACCTAAATTTGGGTCTCACGTGTGAACGTTTGAAAAAACTTAACCAGAGATTTGGTTTTGTTGAGTCGATCCTTCAGAATGTTACCCAAAACTCTCTTGATCGCTTCCTGAAAAGACGCGGGAAACGAGTCATCTCTTGCTGAAATCGTTTACAATACATAAACTATGTAAACCTATAATACATTATCTCTTCCTTGGAATTAGCAAACTAAAATTAGTTGAAATTCTGAGGTTCGTCTATTAGCGACTAGGATAGACTAGCCTTTTCCTTAATCCTTTAACTCTGAGAAAATTTCTACCTGAACATCTTTGCCACAATGTGAAACGAGTCTCTGAAGCTCCTGGTGCACAAGGTCTACGCATCTGAAAAAGATCTTTTAAAAATATATAAATTGTATTTTACTTCAATGAAGGCTCCTCTAAGCGTTGGATTTGTTTTTCACAAGCAACGCAAAGGCGACCTCGGGCACAAAAGCGCTGGGCGGGCACCCTGGAAAATCGTAAGATCTCTGGGCGAATTTTTAATACCTTTTAAATCTAGATTGGTATACGACGTTTTCCGCTACATACATATGCCTATTAACTCTATAAGATATGAAATTCGCTAACCGTTGCGTTTCGTAGAGCCGCCAAAATGGCCGATGGCAACAAATTCTTTAATGGATCAATGCTGTTCATCAACTTGCTGTAGATCTCGTGGAAAATATAGCAAATGCTTGCGCCACCACATCTAAATTTTCAAAAATACTCATTTGAACCAAAAAAACTCACAGCTCTTCGGCTTCAACATAACGCGTTGTACCCTCAATCGTAGCCCTATAGGCAGCGGAAAATCTATCATAAATGTTTACAGTTATTCAAAATTTATGTCAACATACAGGGTGTCTCATAAAAAAATCGTTTTCATATCGAATTTCCTAAAAAGTTCTAGTGTCCGCTTTGGTGTCAAAAAAGCGTGTTTTTGTGCTCAGGAATGTCTCACCCTTTTTTCTCTTTCTCACCATATTTTGATACCCTGTACATGAGATTATGGGTGCCATCATGGCTCCACCACCACCACTACCATGATCACTAGCCACGCCACCACAAACACTTGTATTTTACTGAGCATTTGCATGGCCACATGGCAAATGACTCATTCCCTGCCATTTCTTGAGTGAAAAGTTAGCTTGCTCGTTTTGCATTTTCATTCATTGATTGAATTTAGCCTCAACTAGCACTGTGCACACACAATAAAAACAATTTTCACATTCTGGGTACAGGGAAACTCTCGGTAAAATACAAGTGTTTGTGGTGGCGGCATGGCGATGATGGCAGTGGTGGTGGGACCCATAATCCCATGTACAAGGTATCAAAATATGGTAAAGAGAAGAAAAGCGTGAAAATTTTCTGAGCCCGAATAAACGCTTTTCACGCCAAAGCAGCTACCTGCAGCCATTAGAACTTTTGAGAACATTCCATTTGAAAGCGTTTTTTTTATAGTCACCTTGCATAATTCTCAAAAATTACCTCGTAAGGATTTTCAGCAGCGCTTGATTCTTGTCCTCGATCGGCCTTCCGTAGACGTTCAACTTGACTCCATACGGGCTGATGAGCGATGCCACTCGGTCTTTCAAACTTGGCAGACATTCATGAATGTGATTCATCAAGAGCTAGAAAAGTCTAAGATTGCTATGTTGTTATACGGACTTCCAAGCCATATAATATGACTTGAGTTTCAACTTTGACAGACTGAGTTTTAGCTATACCAAGCCAAAAATCCATGGAGTGTTATGGCCAGGCGGCCTATGACTATTATTAACTTTTTCTCCAGCCATGCTCTAAATACTCAGTCTGTATATTTTTTCTACTTACCACATTAAGTCTCACGGACAAATAGCGTGTGCCCTGGGTTTTCGCGAAATTCGGATAATCTTTCTGGAAAAATGCCTCCTCGGCTTGAAAGGCCTCGTCCATTGGCTTCTCGGCCATGATAATTCAGCCTGTATAGAGTTTAACTACCAAATAAAACCGAATCCGAGACCTGCGAACGATTCACCCACACCGACGATTCCTAATTTTACGTCCACGAGTTGACCCGATAGGATGTCCAAGCATTTGTGCGGCACGATCCATCGAATCCAACTTGGTCAAAACCGCCAACGTTCGCTCACCTGCAAAGAATTTGTCTTATTCGTTTTTGGATAATTTTAACTGCATACCTTCCGGATCGACATCTTTGGCCATTTCCATCGGTTCGAAGTAGCAAAATCCTGATTCGCTGGAGTTACCGCCAGGATAATCGAGTTGGGGTTGTTGATGCAGTGCATGATCATTTTGAGGATTTGTTGCTGAATAAAATCGTATTAAATACTTATAATTAAACACGCTCTTACTTCAATATCAAGTGGTTGATCGCCGACAGGGATTTTCTCGTCATTCCCGCAAGATCGACCCTGGCATCGGAATTCGAGGGAAACGATCCGAGAAGATCTTCAACGGAAATCGGCATGTCATCAATTCCCTAAGTGTGTTAATTTTTGTCTAAGCAACTTAAAAAGGCTTCATTTTACAATTCAAGTAGGCTAAATCTCACTTTATTTGTTCCGGTCGACGATCCGTCGCATCAGCGAACTTTCTCACCAACTCGAAATCCCTAAAGATCTTTGCGTTGGTGGCGTTCTGGAATTGCTTCCAATCACCTGGAAACATTTGGATGTTTGTTCATTAATCATAAATTTTGTTTATTAGTCGTAAAACGGGAGTTGCGAGCAAATTTAATCCATTTTAGTTTCATCAAGTTATGAAGCATAAGAAGCAGTGCTCCTCATTAACAACGAGCGTATAAACGAGCGTTGTCAATTATAAACTCTTTGCAGAAAAAACAAAAACGAAGAGGCTCAATGTACCTTCACGTCCCGGTTTCTCCTCATCTTCGCTGCTGTTGTATAGTTGTAGAATGAGTGGTCGATGAGTACCATGCCAGTAAAATTTCGGGGTGAAATCACGACCTGACGATAGCTTCTGATCACCGAGTTTCTACTGGCACCTGAGTCAATAGAATCTAGGTTAACGGTTTACAAACATGGCACCAAAGCATTGGGACTTAATTAAATAATAGGTGACTTCTTTAAAAGGTGCGGCGTTAATAAACTGGCTGGCTGGACAACTCCAACCCTTTTCTTTCTACCTCAAAGAAAGCAATCAATAAGTACTATTCCATATAAGAGCTCTACTTCTCCTTAAAACAACAAAGTTGGATGCATAAAGTCTCTTGTATTGGACAATATGGCAAACCAGCCTACCCAGTGCTCCAACAACAATTTGCGTAACTGAATCTCAGCTTCACGCGATCCGAATTTCCACAGCGAAGACGTCTTGGAGTTTGTTGATTTTTGAGATCAAGGATTCCATCTTATATATATACTAATATATATATACCGGCAAATTTTACACACAGAATAGAAAAGGAAAATAGTATCGACAATAAAGAAATTTGGTGGGAAAACGCAAAGTGGGGGAATGGCAAACGTCCATAAACCATAGATAGGAATTTTAATACGAAAATGGCAGTATTGTGCTAGACGGGAACTTGCTCGTTTTAAAACAGGCAAAATGGGTGAGTTTCTTATGCTATTTGTTAGAATTCCAAGCGCGAACAACACGATTGTGAAAGCAATTGGAAAAGAATCCATTAGAAAGGGATCACAAATTACTTAAAAGATATAGTCTTCTGGAGCTTGAGGGGGCAGAGGAGGGCAGAAATTCGCATAAGGGATCAGAATGTTTGCACTTCAGGATTTGAAAACACCCTAATAAGTCAATGATTAGTCGTCGGTGTTGCAGAGTATTCAATTGGAAAACTCTGGGACATGACAGCCAGTGACAGTTTGGAAAAAGGGGGAATAAGTAAACTCTCAAATCTTTGACCACTAAAGGCGCTACTAGGGGAAGATAGAGAAGTATTATTTATCTTAAGGAGAAATTGGAATTTACCCAGCCAAAAATTGAATTACTTTTAGATCTTGAGATAACCCCTTAGTTCCCAGGTTTTCGCTCATTTCAAGTCAAAGAAAGATAGGACACCCGGTTTGGAACAAAGTCCTTTGCTTTCAAAAGAATCTGTTATTTCTTTAAAAGCTAGAACTAATTGAGAGGATGTAGGACTTTCCTTAGAGAGTAGTTTCTGTGCACGAGGACTCTTGGATCGTCCAAGACAAGAACGATCGATGTGCAAAAGATTCTGCGTAGAACAAGATAAGTAGAGGGGCGTTGAAAAGAACGGCGGCAAGACGTCCTAGTCGATTACGAAGTCGATTCAGTTGCTATATTTTGTTGAATCATCGAGACAAAGCGTGAACCACTTATTTTATGCAAAAGTTCTCTCTTCCCCTTTTTTTGAATGAATCATTTGTTTGATATCATGGGACCAAAAGAATTTGTAGAGGGCGGGGTAAATTTAAGAGATTTACACAATAAAAGCGCTACACCTAGAAAAAATGATTGAAAATTTGGCTTTTTGGCCACTTTTCAATGCCATTTTTTCCCCAAGCGCTGGTTATTGCTAAAAATTTGTGTTATAGAGTCGTCGAAAAAAGTTTTAGCCGGTCAATGTTCACTTGGTCCCTAGATCACATTCAAATATATTGACCACAAATAGTTTTATGTAGCATTTTCAAAGCTGTTAAAATGAACCATTTAGCTTTTCGATATCCTTTGAACCAAGAGTTTTGTGATCGAAAAAACCTTATTTGAAAGGCATGATGTTTGAAAATCTGTATTTCAAAAGTGAATGGATGAATGGATTCAAAACGATTCAAATTGTAATGGTATTGGATCGTCTATTACTTAGTTATTAGTTTTGTTCTGGCTCGAAAATGAAAGGCTACTGGCAGTTTTGTAGTTTTATGAACCTGAGAATTTGAGAAAAAGGACCCTACGATCTTATGCAAAAGTAGCTTGCAAAATTCTATTTAGAGCCATATCAAAAATCTAAGAATATCATCTTAAAGCTCTCAAGAAATACTACAAAAAAAACTAATTGGGATCGATTTATTTGAATGCGGCCTAACGGGAGGAAAATGAGAAAACATTGACCGGCCGACTAAGACTTTTTTGACGATTGTATCTCAAAAAAATCACCCATTCTCTTACTTTAATTTGATACCTAAGGGCGCAGAAGCAAACGTCCTGGTGTTAAGATATGAACGTTTGTTTGAGAGTAAACTTGGACTACGCGACGCTCCTATAGAGCGAGGGGCGCCACTATTAAGAGTATTACGGTGTCAACCCATAAGCTCATAAATAAACTTGCTGCCTGCGCCAAAAACCGCTTAAAATATTTCAAACACCAACCTGGCCGCCATCCAAACTCGCTCGGTGAAGACGGTGTTGTTGTGCGTCTTGTCGCCGAATATCCGCTGCCTAAACAGACAACAATTACTCACCAATCTTAATCTTCCATTATAAGAAGTATGCAGGCGTGCGTTAAAAAACTTACAACTAATTGTGTCACTTAAACTCTTACTGACAATAAAATAGTTTAAAAGCTAGAGTTCCAAACGTTGACCTGATCGCTATTCAAATTTGCTCTTTGCCGTTGGTGTTGTTGGGCATTTTGTCGCCGAATACCCGCTTCCTAAACAGTTAATGGCTACTTTCAAACAATAATAATGGCTTTTATTAGAAAAAATCTAGTACCTGAGCATTCCCCAACGATGATCTTTGCGTTTGGGCAGCTGCCCGAGTCTGGCTCGCGACGTCTTCGATTTGGCATCTGTAAAAAACCAAATATAAACCAAAAACGCGAGTGCCAAACAAAGTAAACGTCAAAGAGTTAAAGGAGGTTGAATTGTTAGGAATAGCTAACTTTGAATTTTTAACAAAGAAAAGCATATTCTTGCTAAAGCAAAACTTAAACTTAGACACGCGGAAGGATTAGTCTTCAAAAAGCGGAAATTGGTACTAACGAGGGAAGGTCACAAGGCTGGAGTGGTGAAATGCCATGAGCAATATACCATACGACGCAGAATTTTACGCTGGTTTCGATGCTGCTATCCGCTTTTGCAAAAGGATTCGGAAGCGCGAGGAATCTAGCAAATAAGTTTGAGGTCATGAGAAGTCAAAAATCAGTCCTTAGATAAGGCTTCTTTCGCTGTTCCGAAATGTGAGCTTGTGTTGTAGTGGATAAGAGTTTTGTTTCTAGGGGAAACAAGCTATTGAGTTTTTGCTTGGAGTTCCGATCCCTTCCTTTGTTTTTCATTTTATTTTGATGTTTGACAGCTCCAATTTGCTCTATTTTAACTTTACAAGAAGTATTATGACATCTTTTAATTGATAACAAACAAAAAATTAACACACGTGGCTGCAATCTATAAAGTGAATGAAATGCAAGATGTCATAATACTTATTGTAAGAGTTAAAATAGAGAGAATTCGAACGGATTTAAACACCAAAATAAAATAAAAACAAAGAGGAAGGGATCGAGCGGAAGCAATAAACTCGATAACTAGCTTCAGAAAACAAGATTCTTATCCACTACACCTCACGCTCACATTTCGAGACGATGAAGAAGCCTTATATGGAGAGGACTGTATTTTTGACCTCGAATTTCACCTCAGAGCTTGTTTGCTAGATCCACCTCCCGCTTCCGAAGTCATTTGGTACCTTGAGAGGGGCCCCTTTTCTCCAGGCTTAGTTGGACCTAATATTTTTGAGTGGTTGCATTGATAGCTTTTATCTATCCTAGAGGAATCCAAATATGCTTAATAGATTGGTGACTATTTTAGCAAGTTTTAGGGAATTCTATAGCCTAATCTCATATTACTTTAACCATCAAACGCTACGTCAAAGCTTGCTTACACTTGAAAATCAAATAAAAGCGGCAATATCAAAACTGAAACATGTTGTAAATCCTCCAAAAGTATAGCCATATTTGATTGCCCTAGGGTTGGTAGATATCAATGCAACCACTCAAAACATCAGATCCAACTAAGCCAGGATAAAGGTGAAAATGAATTAGCGGAAGACGCAATTCTGAAAAAGGAACAAATTTTAGACAACGCCAAAAAGGAGCAACTTTTAGGCAACGCAAAAACTTTCTCGGTAATATTTTTGATTCTGGGGTAATTTTATGATTCCGGAAAACGACATCTCAGCTCCGGGTTTTGGGTTTTAACAGCCTACAAAATAATTTTCACAAAATTATGCCACTTTTAAGGGTTTTCGATCGTTTTAAATGCAAATTTGCATAGTTTAAATGCAAGCTATCAGCGTACCACTATTTTGCAGACTGATTCTTGATTTGGTTAATCAAGGAAAAGCCTAACCAATAGTATTGATTTAATTCTGTATGTTTAAGTTAACATTGTGTTGTGTATGTCTGTATGTTTGTGGCCCTAAAGAGGCCCGGCTGGATTGGGGGTTATTTTAGCTCACTGACACGGGTAAAGTTGTTTCCACTTGCGGGCAGAGCTGAAACCATGGATCGTCTCCAAGCTGTCAAAAGATAACAAAAGATGGCAAAGATTCTGCTTAGAACAAGATAAGTAGAGGGGCGCTGAAAGAACGATGGGAAAAGTCTAGTCGATACGAAGTCGATTCCAGTTGCTATATTTTGTTGAATCATCGAGACAAAGGGTGAATCCATTTATGTTTTATGCAAAGATCACCTACTTCCTCTTTTTTGAATGAATCATTTGTTTGAGTATCATGATTTTTAAGGTGAGCTTGGGATTCCGGGATCGTTGGACGAAGGATGATAGTGGACTGGAGCATCAGAAGCCCTCCAGTTGGGTCCTACGGTAGAACAATTTGATGTAACGTTGTTAAGTATTAACCAAATGTTGCTAATTTACACGCTAATAATGTATGTACGTAAGCAACAACAATAACTGTTTCTGCACTACGACCTGAACTTTAGGCGAGCCGATGCATCGCGATGGGGATCCGCACGAACCGTCGCTGGTATTCAAGTTGGTAGGAGTTTGAATCTTTTGGAGCAAGCCATAATTTTATTTTAATGGGTTCAAATTCACACAGTGAACTTTATCAAAATCATGCTCAATTTTATTTTAGATACCGACGAACGCAGAAAGCGCTTCTCGGACAATGGCAATGAAGGTCTAGCACTTGAATTTCTTGGGTTTGCACGCTGGAAAAAAGAAAAATGATGTTGTATTGTGTTTTGAATTCAAATTTTCGCCTTTATAAATGCAAATTTCGTACTATCTTTCCCTCTAAATGACAAGTATGTTTCAAAATTTGCATGGTTGTTTTAGGAAAATGAATAACAAGTTAACATCAACTTAAATTCTGCCGCCGATATTCATTAACCTTATTGAAATACTTTATTAAAGTTACTAAAGTAATTTGTTTATGTACTAGACTAAGTTTTGGTCAAAAAAAGAGCAATACAGCAAAATTCAAGGACTTCATCTCAAGCCGAAGAGAAAGCTAAGCGAGAGGAGCGTCTTCGCCGGCATCGTCTCACCGAAAGAAACCAGTAAGAAGAATGATCGAATGGCTTTAAAAAATGAATTTAGAGTTGAAATAGCCGGACCGAATCGTTGAACATTTAGCTTTTATCAACTTTTATAGCTTTTATTTCTTTTAATTTCGGATAAAGTTTTTAAAAAAGCACTCGCACCTCGAAAAAATCGTTATCATTAAAGATCTTCGTTGAATTGACAAATTGTCTAATTTAGTGAAGATCTTCAAGGAAAACAATTATGTATACGTATATTATATTATATAAATTTAGTCTTATATTTATTTAAGTATCGATTCAAGCTTTTTTTTTGATGAAGAAAGGCATCTCAAAAGTTTGGAAAGCTCATTACCCCGTGATCCCTTCCAGGATCACCAACATGGGCTAGTTTTTCATTCCACAAAACCATATAGTACTGAAGAAAACTGAATAAGAAACAAGCATTAAGTGACGTAGATAAGTGTCCTATGCTTTATGATTCCATTACCTTATTTGTTTTCTTCATTTAAACATTCGAGCCATAAGTCGTCTATGTAGAGATCGGAAGCTGAGTTTTTTTGCTACACCTTAACGATTCTGAATCCCTTAAGCATTAAATTTCTTTTCTAGCATAGTGCTTCCAAAACTTCCCGAAGCCTGCATTCAAATAGATTTTTGTTGAAGAAAAGTCGCCCCTCAACCCTTGACAAAAGCATTGATTTCTTTGCGAGCGGCATGAGAAATTGTTCCCTATTTTTTTATTTTTGTCTTGTTAAATTTGGTGATAAACTTTTGTTATCAGCATAATCATGCCTTTCCCCGTTTCAATTAGCTTTCGTGGATCGTTCTTTTGTAGATTCGATAAGAATTCGTCTTTGTATACGCTTTTCCTTGAGGTTGGACTGTTTTACTTTTAAAAAAATAAGTCAAAAACTATATTTGCATGAACTTGTCAAATGCTATGTAAAGTTTTGATTAGTTATTGGTTAAAAGTGAATTCAGAGGTTTGACTCCGTTTGCTTGGTTCCCTCAAAGATGTCAACGGTGCAACGAGCTTGATGCGAGGTTCGACGAGCGCAAACCGTGTCCGATTCTGGTTCCCATCCTAGTACACTCGAACTCGCGTACATGGTTAATCTTGAATGCTCGATCGAAATGAGTCGCGATTGCCTGCACAAGATTCCTGAGAGTCGAAAAAGCAACGATCAAAGTGAAGGACATGGTCGAGTATCTGGACGAGAGAAACTGGGAGCTGTGCACCTAGGAACGAAAAACAAAGGTAATATCATTTGTTTTTGTAGAAAAGTATTGAAAAGGTAGAAAAATGATCAAATGAAGATCATGATCAAGTATGATCAAACTTTAGGCTTCACGTGCTCATCTTTCATCAACCATCCTGCAAAGAGGCTGGTGATCGTGCATCGGGGGAACTCAACTGACCAATTTTTTACAACTCAAGCAGACATTCGAATCGCATTGAACTTGATCACGTCAAGCATTGTGGCGGCTGCCGATTGGCACACGTTACAATCAATACTAAATAACACACTCAAGTTGGACGAGGGGACGCGACGCTTCGTACGCAACGACTACTCGGTGACAATCACTGGGCACAGTCTTGGCGGATGGCTGGCTCAATTGTGCACGTTGTTAAGGAAACATCCAGCTTTCTTTCCCGTTGACCCGCGTGGTAAGTTCTCCTTTGGCAATGACACTATGCTTGATATGAATCAGGCAAACGACTTACATTGTGTGGCGTTTGATAGTCCGGGTGCGGATGCGGTTTTGACAAGACTCAAGGAGGATCCGGGTTGGCTAAATGGAGGGCCACGAGATGTCGAGATCGTCTTGCAGACACTCGACATTACGGTTTATCTGGCAAATCGTAACCTCGTAAACTGGTGCGGCACTCACGTGGGCACCGTGAAAACGATCGATGTTATGTCGAGCGCCTCGTTTTTTCACCAGATATTTTAATCCAATCGCCTCGCACGGAATGGAGGAATTTTAGCCTATTTTCAAAATAATTCCAACGCTTAGATGGGACACTTTGTTCAATTTAAACTTTTTTTCCCAAAAATAAACTAAATCTTTGTAATATGTACTTCAAAATTTCATAATTTCATAATTTTTTGTTTTCTTTGCATCAAATAAAGACTTTCCAACAAAATTCAATAAAAGTTTACCCTAAAATAACTTTAAAAACGCTTAAAATGAGTATTTGAAGTTTTTCAACACTTCATCCTGGAAAACAAGTTTTATTCCAAGAAATTATTTTTTTGTGATCAACGAGCAGCTCACACTAATCAGGTTTTCTCCATTTATTTTTAACCAGCATTTCCTGTTTGGATGTTCGTTTACCCATAAGTAATCAATGGCAACAATCGCAAAGCGAAAAAGTCAGATAAACGATAAGATTCAATGTCTCACGGTGGCTTTCCTGCTGGTTAAAAGCAATGAAATCGAAATCTTTCACAAGTCTGGGAAATCGCTAATCGGCCAGAAAAAGATTATTGAAAACTTGCAATGATTCCAAGAAAACACAAACTTTTCAAAGTTCTCTGTTGGAAAAATCATGAGAAGAACATTGTTGAGATGGAAAATCGTTTAGAACATTATTCTGAACAATGTTTAGTTGCTTAACTTAGTCTTGATCCCTATAGTTAGAGATTTAAAAGTGTTTTATTAAATAAAAACAAAACTGTCTACTCTGTTTATAAACAATTTATCATTTCAATCTAATAAAATCACGAGTCTAACCAAATAGGAATACGAGGAGCGGTTATTCAACGAGTTCTAGCTCACTTTCCTGATGAGAATATCGAGGGTACAGTTGGTGAAACGAGGCGACTTCAGCATTAGGAAGAAGAAGATGTAGACATTCGAATTGATCATTTTCTTAAATAAATCGACTTTGGTGAAGAGATCACTATAAGAGGGACTCTTCTTTCTGTGATTGGTTTTCATGAAGTGTCGACAATCTGAGGGTGGGTCACAGAGGACGTTTCGAGTTTGATTTCGGCCGAGAATAGAGAAATCACTCATTGAATTTGAAAACGATTGAGATTCAAATTCTTCAAATAACAAAGTGATTCAGCTTTTGGACTTGGAAAGCCATTCTCGAGAATCCAATTCAAAATCTCTTCGCTTTCTTCTGCCCAAGACTCCATCTCAAGGTATTTTGCCTTTGATCTAGCTAGGCTACTCATAAAATTTTCAGCCTTTCGAATCTGAAAACTAGGACAGTTTTTTGTTACGATCTCAAAAAGTTATTCAGTTCATCTATCAAATCTCCTACTTTTATTCGAGTGTAATCTTTGCAAGCACATCGAATTCTTTCGGGAAAATCCTTCGCACTGGCCCCACCCTCACTTGATTCAACTCCAAGAAACCAGTGCGCTTTTAGTTTGGGAAAATCTCGAGAATGCTCTTGATGTTGTAAGTTTTCTTCTCAGATTCCTCTTTCTCTTCATAGACGTCCAATTCAGCACAATAAATAATGTTTTCCAAGAGGTGATGATACTTCAATAGTTCTCTAAATTCCACCGAAAGTGCGCGAAATCACCCAAGCAATTTGTGAATGCCGAGTCTTTGAAGAAAGATAAATGTAAATTTTATCGAGTTTTTGTCCAAGTGGACCGTTTCGTAATACCCAATGCCGCAAAGAGCGATTCACTTTCAGCAACGTCAACAATAAAGGACATATCGATTTTTGGGAGCACCAGTTTCTTAAGCTCATTTGGAATGGTCAATAGGGAGGACGTCAAAAATTTTAATAGTTTTACGGGGTAAAAATAAAAAAACAGTATTATGTAGTGTTTTTCTTTTCCCTGCGTAATTGCACTGCTTCGGGCGGTGTTTTTTTCTTGCTTATCTCTCGTCTCAAGGGAAAGATCAATAGCCGCTAGTGACAACTAGTAAGTGCTAAAGGCCTCGCTTCAATCCCAGTGGCTGGGAGTGGCCCCCAAGTCACGTAGTACGGTCACGTATTAAGAATTAACAGTCTATTTTCCCTTAAACTTGATTAGGAGTTGTAACTCTTACCTATAAGAGCCTCTAGCTTTTCACACGAACCTTAGCGATTTTCCGGTCAACGATCTCCTTTTTTTTGATGAGCTGAAAATTAATCAAAGTTGTATTTACGTGTGTTTTGTAGGTTTTGCAAAACAAAACAAGAGCTAGGGGGCACACGGAGTTGAACCATGGACCTCTCGGACTGCAGCCGAATGCTCTGCCACTGAGCTATACCCCCACGTAGACTATGGGTTTGGAAAGTTCCCAAACCTTCTCCGGCACCCGAACAGAGATGGTCGTGTTCCAAGCATAGATATATGACATAAACTCTAGAAATGCTTGTTATTTTTCCGAAACGATTGTTATTTTCTGTAATTCGTCTATTTAAATCATTTAAAGTTTCTAGAAAACGAATTCGTCTCGTATCTTTAGGAACTAGGAACACTAGGAACACCTTTAGAATCTCACTTTTAAATGAAAAACCTACTAACCTTTTGACCCGATTTTATCCCACTCAAACAAGATGTTTAAAAGGGTTTTTGGATGGAAGATGTTGAGGAGATTTCAACGATGACTTTAGTATTCTATGCTTTTTCTGTGTTTCTATAGCTTTGATAGCTTAATGAATTGGATGCTTTGGTGATTCTATTGGATGCTTTGGTGTGGCACTAAAGTTGCGCAATGAAAGGCACCTCTCTCCAAAAAAAATCACTATATTTGGCTTTGTTAATAGTTGAAAAACCATAAAAGGTTTTATTTTTTGCTTCTTTTGATGGATGAGAAAAATGTTGTGCAAATTGGAGAAGGTGGTTTCGGAAGAGTTTTGCTGCTCGAAGACTATAATCCGTGAGTTAACGTTTGAAACTTTTGCGAAGATTTCTAAAATTGAATGTCTCGCTGGCTTTCCAAAATTGAATGCCTTATTGGCTTGCTTCTATTGGTTTTCATTTCTTAAATAGAGTCTGGATAAGCATAAAGCTAAAACAACTATAAAACATCTCTTGAAGACAAATGACTTAATTTTCATAGACCCTATATGATGAAAGAGGTCGCTCGCGGGAAAGACATCGACGCTCAGCAGAAAGAGTTGCTCATTTTGAAGGAGTTGACACACAAATATATCGTCAAATATCTCGATCAACCAGGTGATTTTCTCTACAAGGGGGAACACTATCCGATTTTTATGGAATTCTGTGAACACGGATCACTCCGACATGGTTGATTTTTCAGATAATGCTTTGAGCGTTGAATGCTTTGAGGCGTTGAATGCTTTGAGCAAAGGCTATTCTTTTCTTGTTATGAAAAACTTTGAAATCAACTATTCTGTGTTGACAATCGTCAATGGGCACAAGAAATCTTCACGGCTTTATGTTATTTGAAAGAACATTGCATTGCTCATTGTGACATAAAACCGGAAAAGTTAAGCATTTTTTAAGATAATATTTTTCAGTTAGATAATATCTTTCCAGTGATGCCTTTGATCGAATTCATGACTTTATTTGTAAAGTTGGCGATTTTGGGGCGTGCAAAATATTTCAAGAAAGGGGAAAAATTGAGCATTCTCGCATTGGAACTATGGAATATATGGCTCCAGAGGTGTTCTCTAGAAGGATTTGGAGGAAGAGGTTTCAATTTTTGTGGATATTACATTATTAAAAATATTATTAAATAAATATTAAATATATAAGTCAATGACACTTCTTTTTTATTGATAAAAATATCTATTTATTGTTTTAGAGTTGGTATAAATGTGATGTTTATGCAAGTGGTATTGTTCTTTTGGAGCTTTGCAGTCGAAGGTATAGCAGAGTTTCCAAATGTCGTATTTTCTCTAATAGTAGCAGGGGGAGCTGAGTTGGTGACGATTTTACGGTTTCCAAGCTTTTTTGCAGAAGCTCGGCACTCGTAACCCCCCAGAAGATCTCATCGTCAGGCTGGCAAAAAACGGACCCCACATCAATAGGTTCTGATAAGCGGTTCTGGAGATTTCGAGGAATCGAGGCGGATGGTCAGGACCATTATTTATTCAAAAATAGGAACCGGTGCAAGAGAGGGTTCCCATTTCATCCGTGTTCGGTAATCGGTAACGGTAATCCGTAGCTTCAATACGGTAATCGGTGTCGGTAATCCGTCGGTCGAATACGGTTCCAATACGGTTCCAATTGTGATCTAATACGGTTCCGCGAGCGGTTCCAATACGGTTCAGCCATAGGCTCCAATACGGCTCCAATACGGTTCCTAATTTGACCTGGTAGCTCGGTAATCGGTAATGGTAATCCGTAGCTCCAATACGGTTCCAATAAGGTTCCTATTTTTGATCTAATACGGTTCCAATACGGTTCCAATATAAATTGCACATTTTGCACGCACTTGAAATACTTGAAATACACTTGCACTTGAAATACGCTCCCAAAATCGCTAACTTTACAACAAAAGTCATGATTGACGAAAATACTGAAAAATATTCTGAAAATTCGACGCTCAGGGTGCACTACTATTAGAGAATACGTAATCCAAAAGGTAATCAGTTTATTGCTATTTATAGTCGTTGTCCCAGTCAAATCAACGCGTTTTCATTTTTCAACAACAACCGATGGAACGGAAAAGTTAAAAGAGCTAATTAACAGGTATGAATTCTTTTTTGAAGCATTTTTAGAAGCATTTTCTTGCAGCATTTTTTCAAAGCATTTTTCAAAGCATTTCTTTGTATTATGAATTTAGCTGCTCTTCCCGAAAAATTACCATCGAGAAACGTTTTGATGCTGCTAAGGCGTTAAAGGAAACGGAATCTTTAGAGAAGGTTGAGTTTCAAAATTTTTACACAAACTTATAAATCTAGTGAAAAAATGCCCGTAGATTTTAAATAACTAAACAAAAAAACTGTCAATTCTTTTAGTTCTTGAGAAAATCGTCTTTTTTTGTAGAGCGCAACACCACAGGGTATCCCAAAAGCTCTTCCA